CCTTCGCAATGTTTTCTCTTGCATCTGCCCAGTACTTCTGATGACCATACATGTGACTCGCGATGACCCGAAATCCGCAGTTACCATCCGCATCCACATTCAGGTAACTCACTATGTAGTCCAACATATGCCAGGGGATACATTGCCACATTGAAAATCCAAATATATTTGTCGGTCTAAACTCTGCAATAAATATCATAATAATTTCACGTCACAATTTATATAATCATATAAATACTTTTAATTAACGCTCAGCCGTATTTAAAAAAAAAATGTATGACCTTCATCCCCTTGTGACTGTTGAGAAGACGAACTTGTCTGTCCACGCGAAGAATTGGTCGTACGGCTCGATTTCCGACCTCGCGATTTATCGTTGTACTCAAAAGCAGATGGTTTACGCTTAGTTGAATTAGTTTTCTTGGGACGACCTCGCGGGTTATCCTTAACCTCAGGTTCCGCATAATCCTGTTGGTCTGGGTAAAGATGACTGTACATGAACTGATTCACGTACCGCATCGTCGCGGGATCGCGGGTTTCAACCTCAGTCACAAGCGTCTGAAAGAACGCCGCATCTGACCATGCAGCGTTGCTCGCCTGACTCGGATGACCAGTCCCTACAAGTATACGATAAAAAAGTCAATGAATTAAAATAAATAATGTATTTTAATACAAAATTATAAATAAAATATTAATTTTAAATTACCTGGCTCTAATATCTCGAGTGTTCTCCAAAACTGGTGAATCATTCCGAGATCAATCGGAACGTCGAAATCAACTGCGTTACGGAGGAGACAGACACAAGGAAGTCTATGAGTGAGCTGCAATACACAACCGCAACTAGTGTAAACATCGGTGTCCAACTTGTGCATCCTCGTAAGCTCAGCGTCCAATAAACTCAGACAGTAATGCGAGACCCTCAGTATCACGCTCGCGAAACGGATTCCCTTATACCGTGTATTCTTCTTAGATCTCGAGGCCTCAAGCGCAGTACTGATAATACGTTACATAACGTTAGATTATAATTAATTAATGCAGTAATATAATAACGCATTTAAAAATTGCAGTACGTACTTGATTTCAGTCACTTGATTATCGATATGCTTATTAATCTTCTGCCAAACCGTATCGAGCGCGTCGGTGGACGTCTGAAGCCACTCCTTCAACGCAGAATGGGCACTCTCCACCCTACAGGAAGTTGTGTTTCCAAAATGTGTCACTCGGTTGGTCCAAGCCTTCACAAACTTCTCACGGTGCACTAACCATGTGCCCTCCACATACCGTATCACCTCTGGATTGTTCGAATATTTTGCGCGCAGCTCGGCAACGACATCGTTGTAGGCATCGAACGTACTGGCCTCTGCAATCGCCTTCCACGTACTGTGCGTGAAAATCTCCGAGAATTTTTTATTCTTCCCAAATAGGTGGTAGGTTCTGGCTTCCACATCCTTGTTGATGTGCCACGTGCAGAGTAAGTGGGCTGATTCAGGAAAATGCCTCTGAATAGGAGTGAGTAGACCCAACTCTCTGTCACTGACAACAACATAAGGATATACGCTTTGGCCTATCAGTAGTCTCAACTTCTCTAGAACCCAGTCGTAACTGGTCTCTTTCTCGTCCCTGATGAGGGCATACGCAATCAGGAAGTTCTGGTTGCACGGCGTCATCCCAATCATCTCGACGAACGGCATCTTGTACCTGTGCAAATGTAACCAAGAAGAAAAAAAATATAAGCACATAAAACTTAACTTAATCAAACACACTATTTAAGATTCATACTAATAAAGTATTTATAAAGTAACATACCTGTTGGTTTTATACGTGGAATCTATACCGACATACCAGTGATATGTCCGGAATAGATTGATCGACGCAGGATGGGCCATGAATATATGCGTCAACACTTTCGTGTTCGGATCGGATTCTACATAAACTGTATACTCGCTGCTCACGGCCAAATGTATAAGCTGAGAAGGAACGTCTCTACCGTCGGAACTCTCTCTCCGTAGCTTATCTCTAAAGTTATATACCTGTCACCGATTAGCGTTAATTATAATGATTATTATAATTTAAAACAAAAATTTTATTATATTAATAAATAAAAAAGTATATTAATGCGATTAATTTGATAAAAAAATTATTAACTATCACAATAATAATACATTAGTAAATATAATAAAATTTATTAATTATTACAATAACTTTTACATATAAAAAATTACTAATTATCATAATTAACTTAAAAAATTCAATTAAAACATATATTACAAGATATAAATATATATACCTGCCGCACATGAACGTTGTCTCCCGGACACCTTTTTTACTTTGATCTCAAAATTGCAGCTGCACTTATTCGTTTTTGTCCTTCTAGAATTTCCGCCTGTTCCTCTGTACCGTTCGCCTCTATGGCACTTCAAAAGTCTGACCGTTTTCTTTTTGTGGCTCGAAATAATTAGTAGGAAACCATTCAGCATTGCCTGGTGTTTTGCAGCTTCAATAGCCTCCTGAGCACTATTATGTAATGTACATGTATCGAAACGCAGACTGTAATCAACACCATCTCCTCCAAAATCTTCCCATGACTCCTCCTATATAGTACAATATTTATATTTTTAGAACATGTTAAATTAAGATAATTAATTCTACGATGTAACATAATAATTTGTAACTCGTAACATGATATTATCTAACGTTCAATTAATATAATTTGTAACTCCTAACACGATCACGATAATATCTAACGTCCAATTTATATTATAATAAACATGTAACACAATAATTTGTAACTCTTAACACGATACTATCTAACGTCAGTTTATAACATAACTAAAACTAATATGTAATATAATAATTTCTAACTCGTAACACGATAATATCTAAACGTCCAATTTATATTATAATCAACATGTAACATAATAATTTGTAACTCCTAACACGATAAACGTCCAATTTATAGCATAATCAAGTCTAAAATGTAACATAATAATTTATAACATAATAATATAGTCCAATTTATAACATAACTATTTCGAATAAATAACATAATAATTTAAAAAAAAAAAAAATTACGGCCGGCCGGCCGAACCGGACGGACCGATTCCGACCGGCCGTCGTTTTCGGACGGCTTTTTAGCCGACCGGCCGTCGTTTTCGGACGGCTTTTTAGCCGTCCGGCCGGCCGGTTCGGACATGGCCGGTCCGACCGGCCGTACTTTCCGGACAGCTTTTAGGTCGTCCGGACCGTCCGGTTCCGGCAGTCGGACGGGTTAAAAGCCGTTCCGGAACCGGCGGCCGAACACCTATTTTTTCGTACCTCCGAATTTGACGACATTTCACCGTACACTTTCTTCTGAGATGTTTAGAAAAAATGAGAAGGGCAAAATTGTCCAAGGGGGCGGTGACTGGGGGGCGGTGAATAGTAACGCCCAAAAATATTGGAGAAGGCAAAGAGAGAAGAGTGACGTGATCTGATGGGAAATAATAGGGTATCACCATTGCTTAAATGGGCTTTAATTATTGCGTTGGGCTAGGTTATTATAATGGGCTCTTATTGGTAACATATATTATTTTGATATGGCCCATTTATTTTGATTACCACTAATATTGATTGCGTGCTTACTTAAAACATTAGATTTAATTAGATTAATTCCTACTGTAAGTTACCATAATATCCAACATCCCCTCTTAATTTGCGCTTGATTACTGTTTCACCTTACTGAAAAAAAAAAGTCAAAATTAACATCCAAAAACCTGGAAAATATACATTCAGAAAGTTTATTGTGAATTTGAATCCAAAAACAAGTTGATTGGAAATCTGAAAAAATGTATATATTTAGTTTATATAACGTATATATTACACATATGAATCGTATATGTTTAGTTTATTTAACGTATATATTTTTATATATAATGTTTACACATACGAAACTGTATATGTTTAGTTTATATAACGTATATATTATCATCCACTAAAATTAGTTGCGTGCTGAGGACGGAGAAATATTTGGAGAAATCTGCAGAGGAGGATAAGGATGAGGACGGAGCTTCTAAAGATGCTAAAATCTCCGAATCTTCTCCCTTCAAGGAGGAAACCAACAAGGCCGACGAGCTAATCAACCCTGAGAAAAAGGCACTGGACGAATTCAAGGTTCTGATCCAAAGGCGCTCAGCAAGCGCGAGTTCTCCGCGGCCGCCTCCTGGAAGCCCAGGCCCCAGCTCTGTTTCAAGTCCCAATCGCTTTTCACCATTTTTTTTCGCAGATGATGAACAAAAACGAAAAGGGATTTTCTCTTTCGTTGATTTTTTATTTCCATCAATCGAAATTAAATTAAAGATTCAACCTTTATATATATGTATGTACATGTGAATGAAAAGGAAAAACAGAGCCAGATCGAGAGGTAATTGGTCGGAAGAAGAAGAAGAAGAAGGAGAGAGAGAGAGAGAGAGAGATTGCGTGAGATGGAGAATAAATTCCATTAAATTTGGAAGGTGATAAGTCTCCTTTAGTTATGGTGACTTCATTATCTGGTAATATTTCAATTATAAAGGTGAAATCTTGTATATTTGTTAATATTTGCAATGAGATTTTATTTATGTAATTAAAATTGATATATATTGTATAGTGTGCAATTTTCTCAAAACGGATAAGGCTGGTCCAATTACTTACTCTTATGTTCCTACTCATAATAGGTGTTTAAATAATTATTATATAGTTAAAATTGTAGTAAAAAAATGATTTATTTTTTATATTTACAGTATAGTTAAAAATCAAATACAAACTTTTATATTTGAAAATTTGATTGTAAGATATACTAATTGATGTAGAGGTATTTAAAAATATATAATATTCTTATTTTTTGATTTTGTTTAGTATTTTTTATTCACAAAAAAAAATAAAAAAATAAAAAGATTTGAGCAAATAGCCTTAAAATTGTTCACGGGATTCCTACTAGTATTCTATTTATTCGGCCCTAGTACTTTTTCTTTGGCTCCAAGCCTTGGTGCAATTTAATTGTTGGTGCCTGGTGGTTTCCTTCTTAATTCAAGTTTTACCTTTATTATTTTTGGTAACTTTTAGCCCTTATTTCAGCAGAAGATTCGGCCATATTTTTTACCTCCTCCCCACGCGTGCAGCATCCCTTCACATCGAACAACACCAAGCCAAAGCCGTCAGCTTTCGCCGAGCCTTTTTCCGACCTCCTTTCTCCGTTTGGTTCGTAGATTCGCGAAGGAGGTAATATTCCGGTTACCCCCTTCTAAGTATTTTAAAATGTCTGCAGATTAAAGAGCCTAAGGTTCAATATATATAAATCTCTTGAACTTTGGATTATATTTTTGAGATTTTGTGAATTTTAAGAGGATGTTGGACTCTCGTAGGATTGTTAAAGAGTCGTGTTTTGAACCTCAGCCCGTGAGTTTTTGTCTTGCGAAATATTGTGTAAAGGGGGCCTTGGTGATATCTTTATTCTGTTTCAAAATTTCTGTTTATTTCTTGTCGAGGACCTTAGCCGATGGGATCAGTTCTATGCGAATTTCCTCAGCCTTTTATAGCCTCGGGTCGTGAGCTTGAGACCTTCTAGAGTTATGAAAATTTTTGGAAATTATCTTGGAAAATGAGTTCATTTGGCCATGTGTGATAAAGCATGAAGCCGTGGGTTAAATTCCTTGTTGTTCGTTTTTCAAAAGATTAGCTATAGTTTAGATTTCTTATAAATGTTGAGAATTCATTGTAAGATTTATGTGAGATTTGCTTTGGCTTAGTGTTCAAAAATATTAAGGATCAGCAGGCTTTAAATCTTTGTTCGGTGACCCTTTTGCGTAAAGGATTGAAAAAAAAAAAAGGAAAATTTGTTTGTATATTTAAGTAAAAAAAAAAAAAAAAAAATTGATGTCTTAAGTGGTTGAGAGATTTTAGAAAAATGCTTTCCTATTTTCGAAAGTCGAATTTTAATTTTGAGAGTGTCGAGCCTTAATTTTCGAGCCAAAGTTCCTTTTTCTAAAAATCATCTTCTGAGGGTTTGAAAATGTCCTAGTCGAGAGTTCTAATATCTAAGAGAAAGATTTTAAGTCATGAACCTTAAACTAGAATATTCTTCAAATCTGGTAAATTAGTTTATTGAGTTAAGAGTTAGAATTTTAATTCGAGTCATGTTTCATTCATGTAGATCCTGAGGAGTCGAGCCCTCGAGCATCCTACTGAAGCATTTACTCATCTTCGAGCTTCTGAGAATCAGGTGGGGAAGTCTATGTTTTACGGTATCCCTTATAATCTTTGTGATATTTATGCTTGTTATGTGCTTCATGTATAGTATACTGCGCCTATTAGACGGCTGCGAGATTGTGACTATGATACGATCATGCTTGTGCTAAGTTCGCGCCTATGCACTAAGATAAGCTACGCCTATTAGATGGCTGCGATAAGAAGCGCCTATTAGATGGCTGCTAAATGATTTATTTGTGTTGCATATTAACATTCATGGTATCTGGTAATTATATCGAATATTTGTAGTGTATAAGCTAAAGGTGAGCACGTGGTTTTTGCTCATCCCCACAATTTATCATTTTCTGGTTGAGTAGCTGAGGGCACTGAGCGATGGTCACATTTATTATTGCTTAGTTTATTCCACATATTTGTTCAAACTCTGTTATTTTAATCATGTTTCGTGATTTGGATTTGGAGTTGATTTGAGACATTGAGTTTGTTTAAGAATAATGGTGATTCAAATTTAAGACTATGCACGAGTACTCTGCAATGTCTTAATGATTTTGGGAGTTAGTTCCCTAAGGGTCCAAGTGAGCAGCTTGGATCGAGTTAAAGAGAAATAAAAGTTTTAGAAAGAGAGAAAAGTTTTTGAGTAGTAGCCCAAGAAAAGTATTTTTATTTTGAATAAGTTTCAAAATATTTCTGATATTTGCATTTCCTAAAGAATAGTAAGTGCTACATTTAAGTGCCAAATCCCCTTATTAGGTTTTCCTTGCATTTGCAGTTACCTAATTCTTTAATGGCGCCCTTCGATGAATGTACCATACATCTGCTTGCCCTTATTATATTCCCCTCGCGGTTTCACATCTGATAGGAGTGTATTTACGAACAAACTGAAAAAAAAAATACTCTCCCCTAGAATTGAAATGTATAACATGTATGGGGTTTTCCATTAAAGAGTTGCATGTTGCTTGGTATTTGTATTACTATATGCAGGAAAGTCCATGAGTAATTAGGTATTGTGCGCACTAGTAGATAATAGCATATGGATAGATAGATTAGGTAGCCCACAGACTGTACGGTATTCACAAATATTGTTTTTTGGGTTGGGCTCTTTAGATTTAACTTTTGATTGAAGTCCACTGTCCATTAATAAGCGGGCCGTGTGGAAGCTAATAACATTGTGGTCCATTTAGAACTCTTTTTTAATCCCCATAATCTGCGCATCTCAGCCACCATTCTCGTTTTGTGAAGATAATTTGTGCTGAAGATGCACGAGGTAGCCTTTTTTGTAATTTGTTCAATCTTTATGCAAATTTGGTTTGGATTTTTAGGATTCTATGGCTGTAGAGGATCCGACAGCCGATTTCTCAGATTCGTCACTTGATTTGGATTCTTCTGAGGTATGTAACTATAGTGCAATAGTTCAATTTTCATGTAAAAATTGGGTTGAAAAAAGGTTGTTGATGTATGTGTGTGTGTGTGTGTTTTTGTGTATGTATAATGTTTGTGATGTGTATGTATCTGTGTGTGTATGTATAATGTTGTTTGTGGCTTTTGATTTAGCCAAGATTTTGTAAAACAAATGGGTTTTATAGGTTATTAATAAGAGAAAATATGTCGAGGATGAGGATGGGGAAGATTTTGAGCCGGAATCCCTTGGTGTCCCCTTCTACTTCCAACCTTTGAACCCCCATGCATTTGATATATTTTATGAGGTACAATTTCTCTATTTTTCTGTTTATTTGTTTTTAACAAAAAGTGTAGAGAAGGTGTGTTGTAATTTATTATCCATTAAAAGTACAATCTTTTATATGTATGTTTCTCTTCCAAGGTGCTAGTAGTTTCTTGTTACTAAAATCTTCTTATGTAATTTTTGTTAGACACCCGGCATGGATGTATTGTCTGCAAAAGTATTCAAAAGTCTCCCAGAGCTTAAGGAGATGGTGTTGGACATTCGAGAACGTCTCAACGGTGTTTTAAATAGTGATGTGGATGTGCAGGCTTTTGAAGCAAAAGTAAAAGAACTTTTCAACAGACCGGATTTCTTAGAGGTAGTTGATGAGTCCACCCAGAAGGTATATTCTAGTGTCGTTTAGTGAACAAAAAACTACAACTTTCTAGCAGAAGTTGTCATTATATCTTTCTTTTTAACTTTTCACAGAGTCAATTTTTGGTTGTTCCTTTAGAAGAATATGCCAGAACAAAAGACGCCCAAGATCGAATGCTTGATGTTAAGCACGATCCATCTTTCCAGCCATTTTTAGGATGGACGGAACCCCTTGATGTTATCAGGTAAGATGCCTAGTTTGTGCATTCAATGTTCGGCGTGTAGCACAGAGCCCAAGTATCTAATTTAAGTACCTGATTTTATGACGGTTTGAAGGGGAACGTTGTGCATCCTGTTCGGGTACTGGAATGATAAGGAGTTTGATCGTATATTGACTGAGACAAGAGACGAATCTTGTAGACTTAGAATGGCTGCCAAAGAGCGTGCTTGGACTCGGATTGAATGGATTACGAATATACATTACCCAGCTAATCTTAATGTAAGAGTATATCATTTTGTTGTCTCATTCAGCTAGTCTTAATGTAGGAGTATATATCCATTTTGTTATGGTTTTCAATTGAAACTAGTCAAGAAATCTTTGAAATAATGACTTTTAAATATACAGGGCCTGAAACAAGCGTTGGCCGACAAATGCGGTGAAGAGTCTCATTTTTATAAGACTGCTGTTAAGACGGTATATGATTTGACAAATCAGCTCATTCTATCTTTATGTAGTCTTGTGTCCAGATTTTATTTTTTTCATGCACGAAACATGTGGTTTGTTTTGTGTTTTATGCTGCAGATTGAGGGAAACAAAGCTTATTTTGAGAAGAGGGTCACCCCATCCATTCACTTGTTAGATAGTGCTGCAAAGGGCCATGAGATTGTCACCATGCTAGTGAAGTGGTGTGATGATGACATCTTTTATTTGTTTGATACTTGTATTAGAGTGATCTCTTAGTTTATGGTTATGTTTTTAAAACTGCCAACTTGATGTCTGTAAATATCCTACAGTGGTCCTAATTTATATTTTTGTAGTCCTGCTTTATATTTTTGTGCTTATTGTTCTCTGGATCCTGATACTGAATATGATGAATTTTGTGCCCACACTTGAAAGAGCAATTTTAATATTTTATGTTATGGTGATATATGCAGATTGTCGCTTTTGCATCTCTGTTCTCTACACAACTTTTTGCTTTATTATGTGTGCACTATTTATGTGCACTAAAAATCATTGTTGGGCTATTATACAGAGCCGGTCCTGAAAAATTGTAGGCCCTGAGTCAAATGAATAAATAGTGTCCGTATTGTTTTTATCTATATATATACAATAAGAATTAACATTTACCATAAATAGTAGTAAGGAAAAGTCAATCACATTTATTATATACTATTTTTAGCAACTTTTACATTTTAATTTTAATTCATTATCAAAAAATTGGATGGTTCCTAAATTAATGAGTTTTAAATGCACGTGTCATTTTCAAAAATTATAAATCATTTAAAATCGGAGGGTTCCTAAATTATATTTATTTGTTATATTGTCTATAATGAGGTTTTCGATAATGTATAATAGCTTTTTTGTTATATTTATTTAATTTTCTTTGTGCACAAATATAATAATAAAATTGGGTAAATAGCTTTAAAACTGTTCACCTCATGCATGACACGAGTTATGTACTAGTCAAAAAGAAAATCAGTGGGGGCAAAAGTATATAATATGAATAAAATTAGACTCCCACCACCCACACCCAAACCCAAACCCAAACCGAAAAGAAAACTCAATTGCTATTCACCGCCCCCCTTTTACTAGTCACCGCCCCCCCCATTTACTCTTTTGTCCTTAACTCTTTTTTCATACTCTATCTCTCTAAACTTTCTATCTCTCTAAATTCCTGAACTTTCAACGAGCGATTCGGGCAAGGAAAAAATGTCGAAAAAATTGTGCGGCCTCGGCAAATGATTCTTCTCTAACAAGGTAATTTTTATTTTTATTTTCGCCGGAAATAATTTTAAATATTTTTTTTTTAATCTGTTCGGCCGTCCGGCCGCCGTCCATCTGGTCGTCGGTTCCGGACGGCCGAAAAACCGTCCGGAACCGCCGGCCGGTGATGAGCCGGCCGGACAGTTTTTAATTTTTTTTTTTATAATAATTATAATAATAATAATAATAAATAATTCTAATTAAAATAATAATAATAATAATAATTATATAATAACAATTGTAAATTATAATAATAATTATTAAATATTATAATAATAATGAGTTGAATAAATTGTAATTAATTATAAATTGTAAAAATAATATTAATAATTATAAATTATAAATGCTTATAGTAATAATATTATAATAAATAATAATAACAATTTGTAATGATAATTATAATTAAATATAATAATAATTACAAATTAGTATTAATTATAATAATTTAAAAAATATAATAACTATTATAAATCTCAACAATTATAATTATAATAATAATTAATAAAACTTATATATTACAATAAAAATGAATTATAATCTATTTTAATAGTTATTAGAATAGTCATTACATATGAAAAAATTTAATAATTATATTTCTGATTCAGGGTGTTGGCAGACCTGGACAATCTAATGCCAGGGACGACGACGAGGCGTACGATGACTATTATGATGGTTCTGGCACCCGACACACTAGAAGTCGGGGTGTCAATGCGTCCGTTCGTCGGGACAGACAGACGTTGATCGATGAGGCTCGGAGGGTATAGACTCTTCAGGCTAGGCAGAGTTCGAGACCCTCCGCACCAGCACGAGATGGTCCGCAGGGATATCATTTTGAGGGTCAGCCAGATAGTTCGCGACTCCACGGAGTCCTCCCGTACGGCGAGCATTGATTTTATTATCCTGGCCAGGCAAGCAGTTCGATGCCCCCGGCACCAGGACCGTACGATCAGTCGGGATATGCTTTTTCCCGCTACGCAGGGAAGTCGATACCTCCTCGCGCACGCGTACCATTACCCTATGGTTAACAGGGGTATGCTGATGAGTCGTACGGCGAGAGGGAGCAGGGTCCAGAGGAGTATGACTCGGACGACTCCTCAGATGATCAGGACCACGCACAGCCTACGGGTCCTAGCCATCCTCGTCCTCCTGTACAGCCTGTTCGTCCGGTACAGCCGGTTCCACAGCATGTTCATCCGGTACAGGCTGTTCGTCCTACACAGGCTGCTCCTCAACGACAGGCTGGGGGGCGTTTTGGCTCATCTGCATCCTCATCAGGTAAATAATTTACGTATTTATTGTTGTTTAACATAAATTATTTTCACTTAATCATAACAAATTATCGGTACTGTTAGAAAAGTATTATCGGTCTGCTCTTCAACTACGGTATAATTATTTTGTAATTTAGAGGAACCATACAATTAATTAGTTAGAAAATTATTATAATTATTTTTATTATTTTTATATCAATTAGTAGTAATGTTACATAATAAATTAGTTTAAAATTTTCATTAATTCTAGCATGTAACATAATAATTTGTAACTCATAACATGATATTATCTAGTTCGGGAATTTACGTATTTATTGTTGTTTAACATAAATTATTTTCACTTAATCATAACAAATTATCGGTACTGTTAGAAAAGTATTATCGGCCTGCTCCTCAACTACGGTATAATTATTTTGTAATTTAGAGGAACCATACAATTAATTAGTTAGAAAATTATTATAATTATTTTTATTATTGTTATAATCAATTAGTAGTAATGTTACATAATAAATTAGTTTAAAATTTTCATTATATTTTATTAATGTAAAATGTAACGTTTGTACATTAATTGGAAAAAAAAAAAAGGGGAAACTTATGAAATATGTTTTATTAAATATATTTTATTTAATGCATCTGCCAGCAAGTCTATATATACAGATATGTTATATTTTAATGCAGGTACTAGCAAACGAGCTAGGACCGATGATGATGCACCCTGGATCGTTAAGGGCACAGTGGCCGGTGGGCCCATTGATGGGAGTGTCATCCCTAGCTTTCTAGGGCACGTCGCCTCCCGCATGTGGAGTGGAGATTTGAGGGGGCGGCTGAAATGCCACAACAGACTGAGAGCGGTCGAGAATCTGAAGGCTTGGCGTGAAGAGATGTCTTCCGATGCGACAGCTCTTTTCGACCAGACCGGGCTGTCACATTTGGCCGACTCCATGCATACCCACTTGGACACCCCACTCATTTCTGCGTTTGTGGAGCGATGGCAGCCGAATACTAACTCGTTTCACCTGCCTTTTGGTGAAATAAGCATCATGCTGCACGACGTCTGAGCCATTTTGGGCGTTCTTGTGGAGGGAAGCGTGGTCGCTGAGGACCCGGATTCGGACGCCTGCCATGGGCTCTGCATGTCGATACTTTCGGTCACAAAGAGCGAACTCATGAGTTCGTTCTGACAGCGTGGTTCGGTGTCCGAAGCTGCCATTTCGGGGGCATTCAGGGGGAAAGGTCAGCCGCTAGGGATGAGGCGGGTGCCTGGATGTGGGTGATGCTGGCTGCCACATTGTTCGTCGACAAGAGTGGTAGTAGAGTGACCCCCAAGCTCCTGCACGAGGTGCTCGACGGCTTGGATTTGATTGAGGGTTACTCATGGGGATCGGCTACGCTGGTATGCATGTACAGACAACTAGGTATTGCCAGCCGAGGGGACTCTGCCCAGATGTCGGGCTGCTTGACTCTTCTGCAGTCTTGGATATATGAGTATTTTCTCGATTTCTGACTCCAGGGGCGTCTACCCATCGGTACTGACTGTCTCGCACGATCACGCTCGTGGAGCATAGGGAATGCGCCACGGTTAGACGATCGGCTCACAGCCATCCGTCGGTGCCTCAACAGACTCACTGCCTCGGATGTACGTGAAGTTATTTTATTAAATTTAGTTATCCGTTATTTAAAATAATATAATTATTTTTATAAATGCTCTTATGCAATTGTGAACAGGTGCAATGGTTGCCATACGGCAGCTCCAGCCCAGATGCGATAGAGCCGAGGACTCTTTATAGCGGATTGATTCGATACCGCGATGTCGTCAAGCCGTACTTGCCTGCGCGGTGTCTGCGTCAGTTGGGGTATGTCCAGACTGTCCCTCCCCCTACATACCCGTCAATCAGTGCAGTACGTGCTTGGGAGTCTAGGAACTATAGGGTTGAGCATTTTGAGGCTGCTGTAGTAGGTGCCTGGACCCAGTTCCCGATTTCTGGGACGGTCAACACCGGTATGTTGACCCCCACCACACAGGATCGCGGGGAGGCGACTGAGGATTACCTGCAGTGGTACAGTCGGGTTTCCCATCCGACTCTTATGGGCGAGGAGCTGCCGGACGAGAACGAGGTCCCTACGCGTGTCAATACCGCCTATGTAAGTTGGTTACTAAATTTTAATTAATGTTATTTCATTACAATAATTTTTTTTTTAATAAATTTTAGTCTTATCTTTTTTTCTTCTATTTTTTTAGTGGTGGACCGTCTTTTGGGCATTACATCGATTTGGCAGCAGGGATGCGAATGTTCGGTGGCGGCGGAAGTCGAAGAACAACTGGCTAAGTTTAAGTTGGATTACGACAATGCCAAATAATGATGTAATGAATTTTTTTTTTTAATTATTATTGTAAAACATTAAGTTGAATGATTGTTTTTTTATTTATTATTTGTAAAACATTAAGTTGAATGGTTTATATTAAAATAAAAAAAAGTACCATTAATGCGATTTTCGATTGCCCTGTAATACGAACATATGTTCCGGCGCTTTGAGACAGGCTCGTTCTCCTGAGAGTCCCGATGGGTCGAACTGATTCATTTATTTATTTTGCTAAACTTAAGTTGAATGAGAAGCATCATACCACAAGTGAATAATATCGTTCTTTTATTCAAGAAGGATTTGTTTGAACAGTATACCACAATTGCAACCTAGACTCGTATTGATCCTCCCAACCCACAACCGATTGATCTCAGTACTGGAACCACATGGAATGAATAGGCGGTAATGGACAATCATTAGTCAAATCTAAACGAATGTAGTGTGCTACGGTACCAAGATGGCAAATGGCAATCTCACGACATGGTCCTCTAGCCGATGATCGTGCAGTGAGAGGCAACACTGTGATGCTGAATAAGTCGTGCTACCCACCTTGCGGACCAGAGCTCAAATGAACGACAACCACATTAAATAGGGTCGCAACGGCATAGAGGTCCTGCGGAACTTCGAACCAGTGAGCCAGTCCACAAGGGCCCTTGCCCCACCTTACGCGACGGAGTCCGGCCTCGATATCTCTAAAATAGATGTACTCGTACAATTCAGGGTGGCTGTCGACCTCCTTCGCAATGCTTTCTCTTGCATCTGCCCAGTACTTCTGGTGACCATACATGTGACTCGCGATGACCCGAAATCCGCAATTACCATCCGCATCCACATTCAGGTAACTGACTATGTAGTCCAACATATGCTAGGGGATTGATTGCCACATTGAAAATCCAAATATATTTGTCGGTCTAAACTTTGCAATAAATATCATAATAATTTCACGTCACAATTTATATAATCATATAAATACTTTAATTAACGCTCAGCCATATTTTTTTTTTTAAAAAAAAAAATTATGGCCTGCTTCCCCTTGTGACTGTTGAGAAGACGAACTTGTCTGTCCACGCGAAGAAGTGGTCGTACGGCTCGATTTTCGACCTCGCGATCTATCGTTGTACTCAAAAGCAGATGATTTACGCTTAGTTGAATTAGTTTCCTTGGGACGACCTTATCCTTAACCTCAAGTTCCGCATAATCCTGTTGGTCTGGGTAAAGATGACTGTACATGAACTGATTCACGTACCGCATCGTCGCGGGATCGCGGGTTTCAACCTCACTCACAAGCGTCTGAAAGAACTCCGCATCTGACCATGCAGCCTGGCTCGCCTGGCTCTGATGACCAGTCCCTACAAGTATACGATAAAAAAGTCAATGAATTAACCAAATAATGTATTTTAATAAAAATTTATAAATAAAACATTAACCTTAAATTACCTGGCTCTAATATCTGTAGCGTTCTCCAGAACTGGTGAATCATTCCGAGATCAATCGGAATGTTGAAATCAACTGCGTTACGGAGCAGACAGGCACAAGGAAGTCCATGAGTGAACTGCAATACACAGCCGCAGCTAGTGTAAACATCGGCGTCCAAGTCGATCATCCTCGTAATCTCAGCGTCCAATAAACTCAGACAGTAATGTGAGACTCTCAGTATCACGCTCGCGAAAAGGATTCCCTTATACCGTTGTATTCTTCTTAGATCTCGAGGCCTTAAGCGCCGTCCTGATAATACGTTACATAACGTTAGATTATAATTAATTAATGCAGTAATATAATAACGCATTTAAAAATTGCAGTACATACTTGATTTCAGTCACTTGATTATCGATGTGCTTATTAATCTTCTGCCAAATTGTATCGAGCGCGCCGGTGGACGTCTGAAGCCATTCCTTCAACACAGAGTGGGCACTCTTCACCCTACATGAAGTTGTGTTTCCAAAATGTGTCACTCGGTTGGTCTAAGCCTTCACAAACTTCTCGCGGTGCCCTAACATGTGCCCTCCACATACCGTATCACCTCTGGAGACTTCGAATATTTTGCGTGCAGTTCGGCAACGGCATCGGTGTAGGCATCAAACGTACTGGCCTCTGCAATCGCCTTCCACGTACTGTGCGTGAAAATCTCCGAGAATTTTTTACTCTTCCCAAATAGTTTGTAGGCTCTGGCTTCCACATCCTTGTTGATGTCCACGTGCAGAGTAAGTGGGCTGATTCAGAAAAATGCCTCTGAATAGGACTGAGTAAACCCAACTCTCTGTAACTGACAACAACATAAGGATATACGTCTTAGCCTATCAGTAGTCTCAACTTCTCTAGAACCCAGTCGTAACTGGCCTCTTTCTCGTCCCTGATGAGCGCATACGCAATTAAGAAGTTCTGGTTGCACGACGTCATCCCAATCATTTCGACCAACGGCATCTTGTACCTGTGCAAATGAGACCAAGAAGACAAAAAATATAATCAAATAAAAGTTTACTTAATCAAACATACTATTTAAGATTCATACTAATAAAGTATTTATAAAGTAACATACATGTTGGTTTTATACGTGGAATCCATGCCGACATACCAGTGATATGTCCGGAATAGATTGATCGACGCAGGATGGGCCACGAATATATGCGTCAACGCTTTCGTGTTCGGATCGGATTCTGCATAAACTGTATACTCGCTGCTCACGGCCAAATGCATAAGCTAGGAAGGAACGTATCTACCGTCGGAACTCTCTCTCCGCAGCTTATCTCAAAAGTTATATACCTGTCACCGATTAGCGTTAATTATAATAATTATTATAATTTAAAACAAAAAAATTATTATATTAATAAATAAAAAAGTATATTAATGCGATTAATTTGATAAAAAAATTATTAACTATCACAATAATAATACATTAGTAAATATAATAAAATTTATTAATTATTACAATAACTTTTACATATAAAAAATTACTAATTATCATAATTAACTTCAAAAAGTTAATTAAAACATATATTACAAGATATAAATATATATACCTGTCGCACATGAACGTTGTCTCCCGGATTCTTTTCCTTCAGCGCGGCCATAATTTTTGCCGGGGCCACCTGAGCGTCCGTCATATCACGAACAATTTTCTTATATGAAGCGCTGAGGCCGCTCAACTGGCGATGACCCTCAGGATAAACAACAAATGTATGGTTATGGTAGCTCTTCTCTTCATTGCTACATCTACAGATCCTCCAGTATGGGGAGCCGGAAACCTTTTTTACTTTGATCTCAAAATTGCAGCCGCACTTATTCGTTTTTGTCTTTCTAGAATTTCCGCTTGTACTTCTGTACCGTTCGCCTCTATGGCACTTCAAAAGCCTAATCGTTTTCTTTTTGTGGCTCGAAATTATTAATAGGAAACCATTCAGCATTGTCTGGTGTTTTGCAGCTTCAATAGTGTCCTGAGCACTATTAAATAATGTACAGGTATCGAACCGCAGACTGTAATCAACACCATCTCCTCCAAAATCTTCCCATGACTCCTGTTATATAGTACAATATTTATATTTTTAAAACATGTTAAATTAAGATAATTAATTCTAGCATGTAACATAATAATTTGTAACTCATAACATGATATTATCTAACGTCCAATTTATAGCATAATGAAGTTTAACATGTAACACAATAATTTGTAACTCCTAACACGATCGTAACACGATAATATCTAACGTCCAATTTATAATATAATTAACTATAACATGTAACATAATAATTTGTAACTCCTAACACGATACTATCTAACGTCAATTTATAACATAACCAAGACTAACATGTAATATAATAATTTCTAACTCGTAACACGATAATATCTAACGTCCAATTTATATTATAATCAAAATGTAACATAATAATTTGTAACTCCTAACACGATAAACGTCCAATTTATAGCATAATCAAGTCTAAAATGTAACATAATAATTTATAACATAATAATATAGTCCAATTTATAACATAATTATTTCGAATATATAACATAATAATTTAAAAAACAAAAAAAAAAATTGTCCGGCCGGCCGGTTTGGTCATAGCTCATCCTACCAGCTGAACTTTTCGGACGGCTTTCGAAAAGTTCGGCCGGACGGCTTATGATCCGTCCAGTTCCGGCAGCCGGACAGGCTAAAAGCTGTCCGGTTCCGGCGACCGGACACAAAAATTTTCGTACCTCCGAATTTGACGACATTTCACCGTACACTTTCCTCTGAGATGTTTAGAAAAAATAAAAAGGGCAAAATGGTCCAAGCGGGACAGTGAATAATAAAATAAGAGGCGGTAAATAGTACCAGCCAAAGAAAATCAGTGGGGGCAAAAGTATATATAATATGAATAAAATTAGACTCCCACCGCCCACACCCAAACCCAATTCCTTAAACCCTAGCTTTATAAACCTGATTGCTTTACATTTAGCACTACTATTCACACGCCTCTCCGTTCAGTCACCCGCCGCCGATTGCCGCCGTAAGTTTGCCGTGTAACTGCTTCTAAGTTGCCGCTCATGAAATTTTCTCCATTGTAATATATACTTTTTTCGCGATATTTTCAGTAGCGATGAAGGTGATAGCAGCTTATTTGCTCGCCGTGTTGGGAGGTAACGCCGCCCCTTCCGCCGACGATGTGAAGGACATCCTCTCCTCCGGTAAGGACCAGCCTTAGTATTGTCGGTATGCGTTCGAGTAAATTCCTAATTTCCGTTGTACATTTTTTTTCGCTGGGGTTTTCCGTTGTTGATTTGGGATCGTAAGAGTTTGTAATGATGCTAGGATTGCCGATATAATTTATGATCTATTCGCGTTGATTTCTATTTTGGACGTTTATGCTGGGTTTGGATTGCGTTTTTGCCCTGTATTGTCCTTTCTGCGTTTAAGCTTCCATTGATGCATGTGTTGAGCCACATTTTTCTGATTTTATCACTTTTTTGGAGTAATTTTCTCTTGGGTATGATTTAATTTGTTCCTTCCTTTTGGGGGTTTAATTATGTGTAGTTGGAGCTGAAGCTGATGACGATAGAGTTGAGCTTCTTTTGTCGCAAGTGAAGGGAAAAGACATTACAGAGCTAATTGCTGCCGGACGTGAGAAGCTGGCATCTGTACCTTCCGGCGGTGGTGCCGTTGCAGTTGCCACATCAGCATCTGGCGGTGCAGCTGCTCCAGCTGCGGTGGAGACTAAGAAAGAAGAGAAAGTGGAGGAGAAAGAGGAATCAGATGATGTAAGTCTTTATGTTTATATACTTGTACATATATATATATATGCATACCCTGCCTATTGTATTTCATTGTTTGAGCTCCAAAGTTTGTGGTTTATGTATCTAACTAGTGTTTTGTGTTTCGATTCAAGTATGGTTTTGAGTTGTTAAGTGTGCAAATTTGTGAATCCTTGTTATCTTTTTTGGTTTTACAACATTTTTACTACAAATATGTTTATAAACGTACCTTCTTCTCAGTCAACCCTTAATTGCATTTATACTTTTTGCTCTGGAGCCTTCATTTCATTAGTAAATCATCGCATCAACTACTTTGCATGCAGTTTGCAGTTTCATCATTCCAATTTTGGTTGTCAGGATTCCTTTTTTATCCTTTTTCAAATGATTTTCATGCAATTCACTTTACAGACACATGTCTACAGAAAGAAAGGCTGAACAATCACCCTCTTGTTTTATGTATCGACATGCTGCGCGTGTCTGTTTGTTTGTTCTTGCTTGTTTGCTTTTTTTTTTAAAAAAAAAATTGTTACTGTTTCCTAGATTTCTGTACGTAATAATAGCAAGCATCTTTTGCATTGTGCTTACTCGACCATGTGTTGCTATAATAAGTGCGCGATGTCATCTTAATTGGCGCGTTCCCGTTTATAAATCTTCCTTGTTTTATCTTTGCTTCTGGTCTTGTTCACTAATGTTCATTTCAAATTGACTTTAAATTGCAGGATTTGGGCTTCAGCCTCTTCGACTAGACAATTGTGGTTTCTATATAAAATATCTATGTGGTGTAGGTTCCCTTCGTTAGTTCCTCTGTTTTATGCTTTTAGAAACGGACTTTGACCTTGTTTTTTATTACCCTTCTGTATGTTGATTTGAGAGATGGAAATACGGAAAGCTCAATGCAGGTTAACTCATTGTTGGAAGTACCTTCTTTTTTGTGGCTTAACGGATTTTAACTTCGAAATTTTGTTTGAATGTTAAATGTTGATTATAGGAAAAATGTCATTATTATTATTGTGATCTGATTCAGAAGACCTTAGTATGTTGATCTTGAATGCTATTACGAAGGAAGAGGTTCTCTTACAACTGTGATCCAAAGACCNTGTTATTCTGAATGAGCAGAGCTTGAGGTTGACAATATTCAGCCCGAAAGCTCGAGCTCGGGTTTAATTCATTAGTAGGTTCTTGAACCAGAGCTCGAGCTCGGGTCATATAGTTATATAACATGTTACACGAGCCTTTGTATGAGTGGTGCTCATGCTGTACTTGTTGAGCATAAATGAGTTTCTTTTACAAAACAGTCGATGAAAGTAAACATTTTCTGTGAACCAAACTTGAATTCAAAGCATTTTCTGTGAGCATAAACGAGTTTCTTTTACAAAACAGTCGATGAAATTAAACATTTTTTTGTGAACCAAACTTGAATTGAAAGCTCGTGAAAGGCTTGATGGTCAAAAATTGTAATGAGCTTGAGCTGGAGTTGAGCCTTCTCAAAAGCTAACCCGGCTCTAGGAGAATTTGGAGAACGGGGAAAGAACAAGAAATGAATACAACAAAACACTAAAAAGTAACTAAAGAAAATAAGGAAATAAGACATAATAGGCACGTTGTTCTAAAAAAAAAATATAGAAAACAAGAATTGAGAACACGAATCAAGGAAAAATATCAAATCACGTAATATCTAAAGGAGAAAACGAAAAAAACATGGAATGAAAAATTCAAGCTACATATTGGCTGGCTGATGGCGAAAGAAAAAAAGCAGGCGCACGGCGCATCGTATTCCATCCTTTTCTTTTCGTTCTCCTTCTATGGTGTGTGGTGTGTGTTATTGGGCCCGTCGGCCCACTGGGCACCAATGTATTGCAATAATCACATAAGGAGGGCCCATGCTGACTGGATAATATTTTTCTCTCTCAAGCCTCGTGGTCTAAAACAATTCATGCATGCTTCAATATGTCATTAACTCATTATCAGTCATAAATTTGTAATAGCTTTACATCATATCAAACTATTTGCTGCCAACCTGTTGTGTGT